GGCAATGGAGAAAAATCAAGTAAGTGCGAGCCTTTGTAACTTTAGCGATTTCTGTGATTTATGTTTACTCTCAAGCCACTAGAGTCATTAGAAACTAAAGTGGTTGATCTTCTATTAAAAAGAAGGAAGTTTTTATGGGCGCTTACTATTTAAATTAATCAAAATTACAGGACGCAAAACTTAAATACGTTTAGCGAACATTTGTATTCTAGTGAAAAAGTGACAGCGACAATAATATTGTATTGTAGCGAAAAAAATGACAGAGACATTTGTCTCTAGCCAAATAGGCAACAGGTGGGTTGGAAAATGAGCGACAAAGCGACATCAGAACCCCCCTTGGAAGGCCTCGGTACTTTCATCATATTTCTCAAACATTGCAGAAAAAAGTTGTTTGTTTTCTTAAGATAAAAACTCTAAGGATTAACCTTCAAGCCTCCTTACTATTTTATCACTAAATCATGAAACTACGAGCAATGATATCACTTTTCTGCCTTTTTTACACATTTACATTCTTCGTGTTACAGCCAGTTTTTCATTTCCTTACTGTCTCTTTATCGGTAGGGAATTTACTCACTAAATCTTTGTCGAGAGGTGACAAATTGCTTCAGAAGCATTTGATATTATTCTTGATTTGACGCCCCCGATAAAAGTGATAGCATTCTTATATATGAAAATCTATTTGTAGAGATTTGTTGGAGTGAGTATCTGACTAATGTTCACCTTTATAAACTATTATAAAGCAACAAAGACCTGTGTCATTTAAACCTTCCTTGATAACTGCTGTTGTTTGAGGGTTTTCCACATTTCTATTAATTCTTTAACGCACTCGTAGCTGTGCCAGCCAGCCAGTCTCCCTTCCTTATTCATAAGATCCGCCGAGTCGACAAGTACCTTCTCAGTTAGAGTTGGATGGGCGGTCTGATTACTGCTATCCTGAAGTGATTTCATCGCTCTTTGGTGCCGCGCCTTCTTCCATTTCAGGGTTTTCTTGAGTTCATCCCATCTCTGCTTCACTTCATCTTTAAGTTGATCGTCAGACATTCCGTCTAGATCTTCCTCTATGTGCTTAACTTTGTAACTTGTTTTGTCATCGTAACAATGTGGGAAAACGCTCTGGTACATCATGGCTTGAATTTTCCAGTACAGCTGAACCAGATTGATGGTAGCTTTTTCGACCCTGGCTTGCTGTTCAGAGCTTTGGGTTAAAGGCTTTTTATCAAAGCCCCCAGACAATGCCATGAGCTGAACTGTTTCTTGAACGTTCTTGATCTTCTTTTTACGAGACGCGTTTTCAAGAGCGTTTTCATCAAGAGTTTTGTTCATTTCATCCACTTTCTTCGACATCTTTTCTAACTTCTCCTCCAACGTCGCGTTTTTTTCTTCATTGGCCTTGTTCGCTTCTTTCAACTCTACTACAGTAAAAGTTAATTTATTGCAAAATTATTTGTCTTGATTTCACTACAGCAATTTATAATTTAAGACAGTCAAGTATAAGTTAATTTATTGCAAAATTATTTGTCATGATTTCACTACAGCAATAAAAAAAAAATTTTTCAATGTATAGATACGTATATTTTGTGTGAAAGATATATTTCGCACATCTTATAAGACCAACATGTGCTATTTCCAGAAAGAATACAGAGCCCAAGTGTTGTATATTTCGTGCTGTAATAAAAGACAATTCGTGTAATCTCTTGTGAAGAATAACCTCTCTTCATATTACAAGGTATGTGCCCCATCTCTGTCGTCCTCCACTTCCTATGTTGCTCCTGTATTTAATCAATCACTCCTCTCTCTATCTATCACTCTGAGCTAGGTCCAAAAATCCCCTTTCCTATAACGGCAATCCTACATCTAGTACTATTGGTTTTCCTCAACATCCCTCTTGTTCCCCCTTTTTTGCGGAGGCAGCTGAATTAAAATCAATAAATAACGTTATTAAAGGTTCTTATTACCCATTTCCCCTAAATTTCCTAATTTAAAAGTTAACAAATGTTGCCACCCTGTCCCCCATCCCAAAAACAGGATTGTGACATCCCCTAGATTAAGAAATAAAAAAACAGAATTGTAACATCCCCAAGATTAGAAAATAAAATAAACTCCTTATAACCGAGCAGTCTAAGATTAGAAAATATAATAAACCCCCTAAAAACCAACCAGTCTAAAATTTAATAAGCTCCATGCAGCCCTGAAAACAATCTAAAATTGGTTTCTGTTCATACCATAACAATGACAAAGGTACGTAATGACTACTACAATGAACCGCCGTGTAGTCTTGCAGCAACGGAGGTTTTGCTAAGCTACACCTGTTGTTGGTTACCACGTGCCTACTGGGTAAATACCACAAAACTACACAAGCAGGATGTCGGAGCGTTATAAACAAGCCCCCCGTAAAATGATGAACTGAACTGTACATTAAAACTACACAAGCAGGATGTTGGAGTGTTATAAACAAGCCCCTCGTAACATGATGAAATGAACTGTACATTGTCACTTGGCTGTTGTTCTTGTTATTATTAATATTATAAGTTTATACATGAGCCCCTGAAGACCCCCTTCCACCGCCTTAGCGCATGAGGGATTAAAATGAAGATACATGTTGTCTTTACTGAACTATATTGTCTTTATTGAACTATAAAAATAAGACAAACACACAGCAAGAACTTTTATCGAGATCTCGACAATTTTTCAACGGCTGTTGCACACAAAACAAAACTCAGAAGAAAAAAACCTTTTCAGTGGTGAATATTTTGACCTTGAAAGACTCATCGCAACGAGGGAAGTGAAGGACGGAGTAAGGTTAAGTTACGCTTATTAGCGCTGATGGAAGATTATATTCTAACAAACGGACTATCCTGTCTTCTTGAAAGGATCGTGAATATTTGGTGCATTGGCGGGGATTCTCTCCTTACGAGTGTTCGTGGGAACCGGAAAGCAATATCATAAGCAATTGTATCAAGTAAGTGCAACAAGAGGTCTGTGAAGTATAAAACAGGAAATGTAGCGTATTCATTGAATTCTTTAGTACATTTTATGAGAATTCCTTGGTTCTCTTCAATATTACGAATTCAAATGACCGAAGAAAACGAACCACGTTGCTTTAAAATGTAAATGAAACAACCATCTCATCAACAGAAAAATTATCTTCTCATTATAGGGCATGATGTGTCACATTACCAAGGAGAATGTGGGAATTGATCATCGAAAATTTGAATATTATAATTCCGACTTATTCATGGCATTATTTTAATTACTGAAAGATTTTGGATAAAATTAAAATTCTCTTAAGGCACTACCTACTTGTAAGTAATCAGACAGCGGTGGATATTTACTCCATGAAATGTAAACTACAAAATAAACATCTTGTTTTGCAGTTATTTTCACAATCCTCAACCAAGTAAAGACACCGTGTTGAAAGAAGTTTCTCAACTGAGGGTTCATTTTGAAAGTTATTTAAAGAGTAAACAACGTGGTGCAGTAACAATTGACTTTAGAGGAGATGTTTTCAAATTTTTGTTCCGAGGAAATAGTCAGGGAGCATATGTCATAAAATAAATTTCCGTGAGATTTTTTTTTGGTGAAAGCAAACCACCTACCTAAATGTGTTAAGGGAAACCTGAGGAACACAAAAAAATATTGTCGACAATTTTGTAACCTGCACCGGCGGTCGCTATGGGGGACCTGTTTTTAGACCTATATGGCTCAACATGGAATTGAGGCTCTAATATAAAATGGCGTGTAAATACAATTAACTACAAAAAAAGATTTCCACAAAAATACCAGAAATCTTTAATATAGTCTATCTAATACATATCCATAGACTTAAGTACTAAATATTGAGCACATGATCAACACTGCACGAAAGCGAGGCTGGTCATTTGTTGCCTTCAAATAAGCATCAAAGGCATGAATTTTGGTATCGAAAATTGATCAGAGATCGAAAGTAATTTGTCATATTCGGCTTTGGAATATGGCGCGCCATCTGTAGCAAAATCCCTTTTCGATGACATAAAACGAAACGTAACGAAATTCATAAAATGTAACGAAATACAACGAAATGAAATACAAATGCCATGAAACTAGATACCAATACCATGAAATCCAATCACCGAAATATGCCCGTTGCCATGGCTATATAAGGTAAGATGATCTTTTCGAAATGCATTTGCCTGGTTTTCTTTTCTCTCCTACCCTACCCTGTGTGGGAGTTAGTGGGTCGTCGTCCCCAGATCTCTCAGGTCCGGGGATTTTACTGAGACTGTTCTGTTCTTCCTTTATCTCTGCGGTGTTTTTTCATTGTCCGCTGTCATTTTAATTTATATTGTAGTCTGGTGAATCGCCTTTGTTACTTTTCACGTTAATTATTAGCGTTTACTTTGATTTTGTCGTGTTTTTATCTTTCCTAGATAGGTTTTTTTCGCTGCCGCTGCATCATGTATGGTTTCGCACGTGAGCTGTTTCTTCACTCTGTTGACGATGAATTCATCTGCAGTATATGGTAGGAATATACAGAGGATCATACTTCATAGTTTATTNTATGGCGCGCCATCTGTAGCAAAATCCCTTTTCGATGACATAAAACGAAACGTAACGAAATTCATAAAATGTAACGAAATACAACGAAATGAAATACAAATGCCATGAAACTAGATACCAATACCATGAAATCCAATCATCGAAATATGCCCGTTGCCATGGCTATATAAGGTAAGATGATCTTTTCGAAATGCATTTGCCTGGTTTTCTTTTCTCTCCTACCCTACCCTGTGTGGGAGTTAGTGGGTCGTCGTCCCCAGATCTCTCAGGTCCGGGGATTTTACTGAGACTGTTCTGTTCTTCCTTTATCTCTGCGGTGTTTTTTCATTGTCCGCTGTCATTTTAATTTATATTGTAGTCTGGTGAATCGCCTTTGTTACTTTTCACGTTAATTATTAGCGTTTACTTTGATTTTGTCGTGTTTTTATCTTTCCTAGATAGGTTTTTTTCGCTGCCGCTGCATCATGTATGGTTTCGCACGTGAGCTGTTTCTTCACTCTGTTGACGATGAATTCATCTGCAGTATATGGTAGGAATATACAGAGGATCATACTTCATAGTTTATTTTCCATTGCATTTACACCAGTTTAGTTTATTAGTTAAGGTGGTTTTTAACGTCGGTTTTGCCACTAGTTGCGCTGTGTCGATTAAACACTCGTTCTTTGTGTCGTGTACTAGTCACGCAACGATCCATCCTCCTCAGATAATAAAAACTACACAAAGATGGGGTAATATTGCGACAGCGACTGAGAAAAGCCCAAATACAATAGTAGAATACCGACTGTGAAATGCAAATACTTGTATTCTGGGTAGAATGTATTTGACTGTGAAATATATCTTGAAGTACTTGAGAGGATTCAATTTATTTGGTTATTTTAACGCATGTGCCTTATATTCATTGTTCAGCCATGGAGTTTTCAAGCAGCCCATGACCTGCCAAGATGGCCATTCATTTTGCAAAGACTGCATTACACAATGGCAGCAAGTCAACACCCATTGCCCTGTGGACAGGTCTACTCTTGATCGACCGTTGGTTAGAAATCTAGCTGTGGAAGGTTCTATTGGTCGAAAGCTGATGAAATGCCCATCAACAGTCTCTCTTCCAGGAGGATGCAGCTGGACAGGCTTAGCATCTGCTGTAGAGCAACATCTCCCTTCCTGCGATATGAATGTTGTGGAATGCAAATTTAAAGTCAGGGGCTGTATTTTTCGGGCATATCAGCGTGAGATTGCTCAGCACCTCCTTGTTTGCCCGCATAGGACAGTTAGTTGCCTGTCCTGTGCTCGAGACATCCCACACAGTGATCTGTCAGCCCATGATGAAGAGTGCATTGGCAAACTTGTATCTTGCCCAAATGACTGTGGCGTTGAAGTTTCGAGGTACATTTGCATTGTTCATTCATTGTTTACGGATAAGGTAACCCTGTATATCATAAGTTAGGGGTGACGTGAAATAGTTTGTGGTTGTTGGCCCCAGAAGAGATTACAAAAAGTAGTAATTAGTACCAGTGCCTGCTTGCTGCACAGGCTAGTACCCCTCCCTCTTTCTTAATGTATTGAAAGAAATATTTTTCATGTCTGATCAAGAACTAGAATATTCATTACAAATTTCTAGAAACAATGTACTTTGTGTTGTGATTCTCAACTAGGTGCAAGATGTTGTCACACTTGGCATTTTCATGTAACAAGGAGGGCCGGCCATGTCCAATGTACACTGTAGGATGCACAAAGGTTCACTCTTTAGCAAAGGCAGATCCTGGAGAACATGTTAAATTGCTGCTAGCCGCTCGTCTATCAGGAGCATACGCTGTAAGTAATTTTTTTTCTATAGTGAAATGTGAAGTTTAATACTAATTAGTCTTGAAGCATCTTCTTTCTTCTAGAATATACTTACAAATCTCAAGAATTGCCATACTATAACTATTTCTTATTTTGAGATGTTGTATAATCTTTTTTTAGATGTTGTATAATCTTTGGGTGTGTGTAATGTAGTTTGTTATATTTATATTTATTTTCATTATATTATTGTTAAGAAAAGAGTTGTTGGAGTTTCCATTCACTCAAATTTTCTAGTTATTTAGTCATTCATCTATTTCATTCTTTAAAGTTTATTTTCCTTTTTTTCTAATACATGTTGTGCACCTTTTTTATCTTTTTAGGCTTCTGATGCAGGCTTAAATGGTATTTCCTTTGGTGGGTCATGGAAAATAGAAGGCGATGTGGTATTGCCCATCTGTAGCCCATTGTTTGAAGCTCATGCTGCTGTGGTCAGAATGGAAATTTTAAAAGAGAGTGGTATTTCCTTCAAGTTTCAGGTGGAATCAAAGTTGCAGCTGCCCAGTTTTGCCATTGATTTAAGGTGGGCCAGTAGCCTTGAAATCTTATCGCTTTCTTTAAAAAGTGTTTACATAGAGATTTTTGCTTATATTAATAGCCTCAAAGTTTGGATGGACTGTATTTCTTTCTTGCTTTGTTTTAAGTATTTGTTTTATATTCCAGTAATATTATATTTCTTGTCATTTTTCAACAACAGGTGCTGTTTCCGTTCTGGGACTGAGAAAGTAAAGTTTAAAACTCCTACACGTCTAATGTGCCAAGACACAACTGCATGCATTCAAATACATAATGTTTGCTCAGAAGATGTTTTTGTCCAGCTGATGAGAAGTAACATTTTTTTCGTGGATTTTCTGCTGACCCTGTCTGTTTGATGCTCTGTCTCATACGGAGTTTTCAATTCTGAGAAGATAGAAGGGATAGGTGGCTTTTAGCTGACTCCTGATTTTCACATGTTGTGAATTCAGTTGAGTTTTGCAGCTAATGACCTTTCCCTATTTCTCCAAATATATATGGTAGATGCTGACTCCCGGTCTGTGCAAATAAATGATGTTTGCCTCTTCAGTTGAGTAGTAATTATTGCAGCATTCACCATTGAACAATTCTTCCTCAAGCGCGAATTGGATCTGGGTCGATAGCCCATGAGGCTGTTGACTCAGGGGCCATGAGGGCGAGAGGAATAATAACAATTGTTTTAGTAAAATCCAACTAGTTTGCCAAAAATATCGGGACAAAACAACTTTAGCAAGATAACGCTACACTTAAATACTTTTTTGCTGCCAAAAAGCCGCCGCTTTTGGCTACTAGTGGGCTTTAACTTATAGCCTAGTAGTAGCTCAACCAATCAGAATGCAGCATTGATAATAGACTACTACTTGGATTTTACTAATTATTAATAGCCAGGTTACACCTTGTCAACTCTAGTTAGACTCTATAGAAAGCTCTTGTGGCGTAAGTGTGTCACTGAGATGTCCATTTGAAATCATCTGCTAAAGGCAGAGAGACACAGATTAATCTTCTTTTTGTGGCTTTGGGGTGTGGGTGGTGGTGGTTGCATCTTACATGTTTGTACATTTATACCTGGTAGGTAATCATCATGTCAGTTGACTTTTTTTGTTTGTTTGTTTGTTTTTTGTCAACTTGGATATTGTTATCCATGTTTATTTGGCCTTGGGTTATTATATCAAACAAAGTAATGGCCATATCACCAGTCAAAATACAATTTCCAGTGTTTGAGTGAACAAAATTTAGCTACAAAGGAATATTTTTGCAGAACAAGAGGAGTGACATTTGAGTCCATTGAAGTACTGGAATGCTATACAAATTGTATATACAGAATGCTTGTCGTGTGTGAAAGGATTCTAGGCATATAATTGTAGTTGCATTCCTTCTTTTATTAATGTAGTATCATTTTTAGAAATTTATCTTACAGTTGTACCTTGTTTCAATAGAAATGTCTCTCATCTTTGCATATCTGTACATTTTAGCCTTCGTAGGATGGGCCTTTAAGAGCTTGAGCCATGGTTCCTACCCAGATTTCCTGCCTTAATTTTTTCCCACTGGGTTTTTTCCAGCAGGTTTTTTCTGGCCTCCGTTCTGACAGTAATGTTGTTTGTAAACTGTCGCTCAGCTCTTCTTTAGGTTATGTACCATATAGTTGATATTAATTATTGACAACAACAACAACAACATCTTTTATTAAAACATGGTGGGTTTTAAAGCTAATATAGCTTATGGGGCTGTGTAAAAAATGTTAATAAAATAATAAAAAGTATATTTAAATAAAAAATTTGAATGTGGTCAATAAAAGGCGAGATATGTGCAATAAAAGATATGAATAGAATCAATAAAATACGAAATCGTTTAGACGTTTTAGACGTTGTTAGAAGTTTTAGTATGACATATTCTTCTAAGTCAATACAGTTCCCAGTTTGTACTCGACTCCAACCAGCCATTATTACCTTTTTGCTCAGATGTGTTCACGTCTTACAGTTAACAGTAAAACTCTTTCATATATTCTTTTATATGTATGATAAGTATATGTTATTCACCGGCTGGTAGGTCCGTATTGGGAGAAACTGTGCCCGAGGTCTTGAATACCCAGACCGGTACTCAGACCGAGGGCACAATTTCTCCCAATACGGACCGACCTAGGCCGGTGAAGAACATTATTATTTTTTTCCAACTGAGATTTCAAAGTTTCAGAAAATTTTTCCTGCACTCTCCAACCTATGTGCAGTTATAAAAGTAGGACGCGTTCGTGTTGATGAAGCGCGCGATCGATTGCAAACCAAAACAAAACATCATGATTTTTAGCTCGGTAATTTTAATATATTATGGCACTTACTGCTCTCTTTAAGAATGAAGAAAAGTTTGTGTGTCTTGCTAGACAGTTCTTTATCTGAGTGTCAAACAAGGATAAAACAATTGACGAAATTAAAAGCCACAGGAAAGAAAATACAGCAAAGGTTTTCTTCGTCTGAATATTTACTTTAAAAGATTAATAATTCAATCGAGCGGAATAAAAACTGCATAAAGGCTTTATAAAAGGAGCTAATTAAACATACCAATCTTAGGGTTTTGAAGTGAATTCGAATAAAAGGAGGCGATGTGCGTAACTAAACAATTATAAACAAAGAACTAAAAAGTGCGATAACTGACTGCTGGAAAAGTCGTTCGTGTGGTTTATTCAAGATTGAAAGCTACATGAAATCGTTGACAACAACCTTTCCTGAAAAGTAGAAAACTAGCGAGGCAAACTTGAATTCAATGAAAAACGGCAGAATCTAGATTGAGACAGCAAGAATGGAAAACAAACCTACACACAGAGGAAAAATGTCGAATAAACGGTGCATGAGAGCGAGATTGCAGTACTTACAGCGTAGGTTATAAAGCTAGTGAAGCGACATCGCGAGCTGCCTGTTTTGGTTTACTTTAGCGGTTTTCCTGGCTCACTTGCTTGATTCCCGGGGGGGTACTTTAGGAATTCCTGGGTGGGGATGTGCCGCTGGGACCCTGGAATCCCTAACCTATACCAGAGCTAGTTCAGCTGAATTTTGCTACCCTATACTAGAGTAAACTCCCCAAATCCCCCCTAGCCTAGAGTAGCTGTTTCCCTAGTCTACATAAATCTTCAACCAACTGATCAGTTTCCTGAAAAATGATACCCTATTCTAGCGCCAAACGCTCTGATTTATATACCCTATCCTAGAGTAAACTGCTTGAAAACCATACCCTTCACAGCGGCACATACCTATATAGCCCATATATGGTAGTACCCCACCCCCCCCGGGCTTGATTCTCCTTTCAGATGTTTTCTCTGAATAAGAAAATTCACATTTCCCTAGCTAATGCTAATAATAGCGCAAGTTTTAAAAGAAAAATGGTTCTGAATCACCGGTTTTGCTCATTCACAAACAACAAACAAACTTGTAAATGAAGCTGCCACTGAACGATTCCGCCCGGGTTAGCGGGCAAGATCGTAAAAAAACCGCCCGCTCTCGGAACCAATCAGATTGCAGGATTTGGAGGATTCCGCCCGCTCGCAAGCTTCGAAGAAAATAATAAGCCTTTCTGGCTTCGATAGAATGTGCAAATACAAACGAATATGCCTAGAAATTAATTCTTAAGATTTAATTTGTTCTTGCTTTGTCAGTTATCAGCTTGCTAAGGCTCCTATGTCTTTTACCTATTTTTATTTTTATAGTTTTATATTAGTTCAAAGTAATTAAAATTTTTCCATTTATTTTTATGGAAAAAACAAATGTGACATGGTCAAATACTGATTACAGCCTAGAAATTTTTGTTTTCATCCTGTTACTTTCATAGTTTTCCTGAGTGTTATAGAGGTTTCATAGTACCGTATCTTGAGACTTACAGTGTTATTACTTCCTTTTAAAGGGATGCCTATTTTACAGTTCAACCCTTCAAGAAAATTTAAAAAACCTAGGAGACCCTCCCTTCTCTACAAGAATTCATGTATAGGAACAGTCTACGGAAGGACATTATTTAGAACCCAAAATAAGAAAGGCTGAATTCAAAACTGGACTGTCGTCATTTCTTTCTCAATAAATTTATAACATGGGTCTTCCAGCTAATTCCTTAAAACAGGGGAGTGGTTCCCCTTTTAAGCTTTCAATTTAAAAAGTAACTTAACGGACAGACTCCCTAAGTATAAAATCAATGACGATTGGAGTCATTTAGTCATGTTACTAGCTTGTTTTGAGGGGGGTTTACTTTTGAAAATGCACAGAATGTGAGGGAAGTCGGAAAATTGAGACACAGGACTGGCCTTCCATGTCAAAGTTGTCAAACCATATTATGATTGAAGCAAATCCAGGTTTCCTTCAAAAGTAGACAAAAAAAATACGCTTTGACGGTTGTTTGTCAGCGTCAAAATGTAACCCATATAAAGCTTGGCACAGGAACCTATCAGGTATTTCTCCTACCAGGAATGTAGCTTTCATGTACGCACGCAGATACGCCTATGCATACAGCTGAAATCTGGACTACAAAATTATAGTTTCTTTTTCGCGAAAGCATTTTTATCATTGAATCGGGATAAAAATTTCGCATTATACTGGTGTTTTTGTCTTAAGATTTCCTTTATCCTTTGACTGACTAAGTGGAGTGAAATTGGAGAGAGATCACAATGTGAAGGCACAGACCTTAGTTGAGACCTTTCACCAAGCGTACTCCAATTCTAGAAAAATATGAAACAGCAAACTTATCCTTACGGCAGGGCGATGAAGAAGTAAACAAAAGAATCCAGGTCAAAAAATATATATATTTAAACAATTGCAAAAGTTCGTTACAAATTTGTTACAAATACATTTTGTAACGCACTTTTTGTTTTATTTCCATTTCTCTTTTAACCCCTGAAGAAGGTTTGTTTTCAACCAGGAATATTGGGCAATTATGTAAATACATTTTTTTGTTGTTCTTTTATTCTTTTGTTTACTTCTTCATCGCCCTGTCGTAAGAATCAGTTTGCCGTTTCATATTTTTCTACAGGCTTAATTGTACTGATCCACCACGCATTGTTTTTTTTTTCTGCATGTGGACTTGCTGACATGTTATATATTTTGGATACTCCAATTCTACCCCGGAGTCATTGTATCTCTCATACGGCTTTGGTGACTTATCCTCTGCACAGCTGAGCATAGCTTCAGCGGTATGGAGAGACTGCAAACTCCCTTGCAATTCTGCATATGAGCAGAAGGACGTAGTTGATATTGATGGTATTATAACAGAGTTTGCCCGTCTGAAGGGAACACGTCTAGAGCTGGCCCCCCTGGGACCCAATACACGATGGGTCCGCCCTTGTCCTCAAATAAAAGACCACCCCACTAGTTTAGAAGGGAATTGAATTTGAAAAAAAGAACCATGCCTCAATTTCCTTGAGCCGTTTGGGAGTTATATCAAACGTTGGTTAGCTGGGGAGACTGGTTATGAAAGTCGGTAAACTTCACTGCGCGAAACAATATGGCCGCCTCTAGTGATAAACGTACCTCTACTAATCATAACCATGATCAGACTGGGCCTGTATCCTGTACTACACTGACAGACTGTATGTCTGTAAAAGTCGTAAAGCTCTATCTAAGTAGTTATGTTAATGTACAAACAATCAACAACCGAGAAGGAGCCATAAAGGAAAAACTGGCAACCCGTTACTCTTCTCCCTATCCGTCTTATTGGAAGATAGACCGCCAATGGAGCAGAGTCTCTGCAGAGCTTCCACCCAAAACTGTCCGCCCACCTGGGGACGTGGGAACTGTATCATATATATATATGAATACTTGAATTCTGGGTGGAATGTATTTCATAGAGCGCTCAATTCATTTAATTGAAGAGCTTTGACTATTAATAATCACAGGAGTTCAGGCTTCATTCGTTTATTGCGACAGTGCTGTTTCGTACGGTCCGAAATTGTAGGACCACACTCATTATCGTTGAAGCTGCGTGATGAGTGTGGTCCTACAATTTCGGACCATACGAAACAGCACTGTCGCAATAAATGATCGATGATTACTCCTGAAGCCTGAACACCTGT